GATAAAGAGGTACAATGTTTATGAACTTTCCATAATAGTTGTTACCCTGAGGCTTGGAAGTTATTGTCCCTCACACCATGTCAGACACTACTACAGTGAAAGTGCAGACATATCTTTCTTTGCCTCCAACAAAGTCATTCTCAAAGTATGTGAAGAGTTGTTTGCTCTCTATGGATAAACAAGTTGATAAGTCCATGTCTACTCCTATCTCTGTTCCCATCATTCCTATAGTGACTGCCCAGGTCCACCTCCTTTGGCGCCTGGCTTCTGGTGTCTGCTCAGGTCCACCTCCTTTGGTGCCTGGCTTCTGGTGTCTGCTCAGGTCCATCTACTTTGGCCCCAAGATGCAGAACAATTATTAGTTCATGCCCTCAGTCGCTGGATCCATGGAGGTCGATAGACCTCATTCTAGTAAAGAAAACCAGCGTGGTCATAAACAGTAGGGTTCTCTACCCAGTTCTCCTCCACCTAGGTAAAAATGGCCACTTTGATACAGTGGGACTGTCGAGGTTTCCGTTCAATCTGGATGACCTTAAGGCCTATCATCCTGTGTGTATTTCCTTACAGGAAACATACCTGAAATCTATTGATACAGTCACCCTTTGGCAGTTTTCTTTATGTTGAAATGACAGGTTGTGTGATGGATGAATGCATGGAGGGGTATCACTGTTGGTCGACCAACATGTAGCCATCCATGTTTCCTTGGGTCATACCATCACTGTTTGTTCTCACTACCTGTCTCCTGGAGAGACATATGATCAATCAGACCTTGGTGCTTTTGTAGAACAGTTGCCTTCTCCCTTTGTAATCCTGGGAGACTTTAATGGACACAATCCCCTCTGAGATGGTGCTGATATTCATGGGAGGGGTTGTTCTGTAGCGTGTATGCTCTTGGATCACAACCTTTCTCTCTTCACAGCTGGTTGCTTTACCTATTTTCATGCACCTAGTCAATATTTTACTGCTATTGATTTATCTATCTGTTCCCCTTCACCTTTCTCTCGTTTATAGGAGGGTTGACAATGACCCACAGGGCAGTGATAATTTTCCTGTTGTTTTGAGAGAGATTAGCTGTGGTCAATGCCACCATCCCTGAGTGCCACAGTGGAAGTTGGACCAGGCCAACTGACTTTCTTTCACCCCTCTCTCGGAACTCAACCCTGCTGTCCTTATTCTTCCATCTATTGATGACTGCAAGGAGGCAGCAACTGACTGTATCATTCAAGCAGCTGTTTGTTCTATACTTAAAAACTAGACACGTTTCCCATGGTATCCTCATCCATGGTGGTCTCTATCCTGCCAGCAGAAACAGAAGGCTCAGAAACGGGCCTAGAGTATCTTTTGCAGGGAACCCACTATTTATAAACACATTGCTTTTCAGCAGGCCATGCCCATGCTCAACAGATCAGATGTCAAAGCCAAAAGGAATCTTGGATTAAGCTTACAACTAGCATCTCCTCTACCACCAGTTCCAAAGTAATATGCGACAAGATTCACAAGGTCAATGAGAGGTATGCTTTCCATTTTGCTCTCCAATGTCCAGGAAGTTGCTGATGTACAGAGCATCATTGATACTCTTGGCAAAACCTTTTCTCGTGCATCTAGTACTTCTGTTTCTTCCCCCACGTTCTTGGCTATCAAGTCTCGAGCAGAGACTTGATAGCCAATTTCCTTTCAAGTCGATCGTCTCTAAGACTATAATTGCTCCCTTACACTGGTGAAACTTGAACTTACCCTTCACCAGTCTGGCAGTACATTGGTAGGACCTGTTGTTGTTCACTATGAGATGCTGTGCCATCTCTCTCCTGCCTGTCTGGCAGGAGAACTGTTTTCCTGATGCTTGGCCCAGGCTATTGTCCCCCCTTTTTCTAAGCCTGGGAAAAATCCTAAGATTCCTTCTAATTATCACTCAATTACTTTGACTAGCTGTCTCTGTAAAGTCTTCAAGGGGATGGTTAATGCTTGTCTTGTTTGGTTCCTTGAATCAAACAACCTCCTCTCGCCCACCCAGTGTGGGTTCTGTAGACAGCTTTCCACAGTGGACCACCTGATTCAACTTTAGACCTTGATCAGGGAATACTTACTTTAGAGGAAACATTTTGTTTTTGTTTTCTTCAATCTTGAGAAGGCTTAGGAAACTATGCACAGGTATGGCATTTTACAGGATCTACACTCATATAGGTTTCATGGTCATCTACCGATTTTTATCTAGAACTTTTTACTCGACAAGTGATTCCATGTCTGTGTGGGTGTGACACTTTCCTGTTCTTTTACACAGGAACTTGGACTCCCCCAGGGCTGTGTCGTGAGGGTCACATTTTTTAGTATCAAGATCAATGCTATCACTACACAACTTCCTCCTACTGTTGCAAACAGACTCTATGTAAATGACTTCCACATCTCATGTTGGTCGTCGACCATGAAGTGTATTGAGTGGCAGCTTCAGACTACCCTCAATCACTTATTGAAGTGGACCACAGCAAATGGTTTTACCTTTTCTTTTTCCAAAATCATTTGCATGCATTTTTGCCACCAACGGGTCTACACCCCAATCCCAAGCTCTGTCTCAGTGATGTTGTTCTTCCTGTGGTTCCTGAGGCAAAGTTCTTGGGCTTATCTTTGACCATAAACTTAATTTTATTCCTCACATAAAGCACCTATGTGTCAAGTGTACAAGCACACTGAAGCTCCTCTGTGTCTTCTCATCCACCTCTTGGGGAACAGAGCAGTGTTCTGTGCTCAAGATCTATCATGCCCTCATTAGATCCAAACTGGACTATGGGTCTCTAGTCTATGGTTCTGCCAGGACCTCAGCCTTGAAAATGCTGAACCCAATTCATCATCTAGGGCTTTAGCTCTGCATAGGCTTTCCACATTTCTTCAGTCCAGAGTTTGTACACTGAGTTCTACAACCCCCTCTTCATCTTCACCATTTCCAATTTTCTCTGTAGTATTCTACTAAGCTTCGATCCTTACCACAGCATCCTACCTGGGGTTGTGTCTTTCTTCCACAGTGGGTTGTGCTCTTTCAGAATGCATGGTCTGCCACTTCTGCATTTGCCTTTGTATCCAGGTGCAACAGGCTGAATTGGATCTGGCATTGGATGACGTTGTTGTCCCCAATAATTAGTTCATTCTGCCATGGCTTATTACCATCCCCAGATGTGATCTTTCCTTGAGTCATCTGAGGAAGATGGATACTCCTGATTGGAAGTACCATCTTCTCTTTGCCAAACATCTTTTGAACCATCTTTTTATTCCCGTTTATATGGATGGTTCAAAATTAGGTGACTCTGTGGGCTCTGCCATGGTTTGTTGTTGCTCAGTGGTTGCTCACAGGATTCCCTCTACAGTTTTTGTGTTCACTGCCAAGTTTTATCCCATTTATCTTGCTCTGGATCATGTAGATGCTGTGCAGTACACCGATTGCATTATTTAAACTCACTCTCTTAGCTCTCTACTGGCTCTTGAATCACTTAACGTTAGTTTTCACCCTGTTCTTGTCGATATTCAACAATGACTGGCCCATTTTTCTTCATCTTCCATTACTATCCAGTTTTTCTGGGTACCTGGCCATGTTGGTATTTGTGGAAATGAGCTTGCTGACACTGCAGGTAAGTGTCTGCTCTGGTGCTGTCACAGCTGTGTCTGTCTCATATATGGACTACAGTCATGAATTCAAGACACAGCTTCACCCCAGTTGGCAATTGACTTGGGGTGAGCAGCATCATAACAAGATTTTTCAGATCAAACCTTCTGTTGCTCTTTGGCTGTCTTATTTCCATAAGGATCAGAAGGAGGAAGTTCTTTGCGCTAGGTTATGCACTGGTCACATTTTTTCAACTCATTGTATTCTATTATCTGATACTAATCCACCAATGTGTAGCTGTTGCGACACTCAAGTCACAATAGCCCTTATTTTACTGTCATGTCATCATTAAGACTCTGAGTGACAGCACTATTTTAGACACATGTTTTCTAAGGGTTTGGCCCTGACATTGGATGGTGTTATTGGTGATGGTGACGCTGTCCAACTTGATTGTATTATTAAATTTTTATAAGCCATTGGCCTTTTTAATTCTATTTGAGTCTTTTATCAGATTTTTTTGCACATTGTATAGTTTTTACTCCATTCATTTTTACATTTTATTGAATTTTACTTTTTAAGATTTTTACTGGTTGTTTGGCACAGATAGCCATGTTGCTTTGTGCCAAAAAAACATCAACCAACCAACCTCTCAAACAGCTGGTGTGTCTTCCTTCTGCAACCTGAGTCTGTCCAGTTTGCCCACCCCAAATGGTCAGATTATGTTCTAACCATACTACACCTATTGGCTTGCTAACCACTTTTGTGCAAATTCTTGGATGGTCATGTTCTCATTCTGCTTATCTCTACTGACACTTGGGACTTACCTCTCCCTCTTTTACATTCTGGGTTAAGATAATACTCTGATTTATACAAGATGTAGTCTCCCAAGGGTGCATCCCTATGGACCCCTATCATTGGATGTCACCCGCTATAGTCTTTTTTCCTTTGGGTGCTTTCTAAAGGGAGCTCATCTAGGTTTAATTTTGCACTTGTCTCTAATTTCTATTAGTCTTTTAAAGACTGGGTTATAGGATTTGTATTTTTGCCTTTAATTGATTTTTTTAACCTACTTCTTTTCATGGCATTATGAATTACTAAAGAACAAGATATGTACTGGGTGTTAGACAGTTCCTTAAACCATAACATATGTTAAAGAATGCTAAAATTTTTATATGTTTTCTCAAACTCTTACCTTAGAAACATATAATATATATAAATATTTGTCATAAATTGTTGTATTTGAAGATAAAGAAAGAATAATATTTTGTTCAGATATGAAAAGTCAAACAATTATATTTGTAATGCATGAGAATGTCAGTTTTAATTGTTTTCAACTTAAAACACAGCTTTATAGCACAAAATCCAATTTTATTTTAAGCAATAAAAGTTACTGTATTTCAATATTCCTCAGGTTACTGACACAAATGACAATCCTCCAGAGTTTGAGGATTCAGTTTATTCTTTTGACATTCCCGAAGAGATCCAGAGAGGAGCTTCAGTTGGTAAAGTTTCAGCAACAGATGTTGACATTGGTGTCAATGGACAAATCAGTTATAGTGTTGTGAGTGATTGGGGAAATGATGTTTTTTCTCTTAACCCACAAAGTGGTGTTTTTACATTAACTTCCCATTTGGACTATGAACAGGTAAGAGCTTTTATTACTTGTTAGGGATGTAAAATATATTGGAAGTGGATTTTAATACACTTTAACTACTTGATGTTTTAGTCACTCTGAGATTTAAGTATATAATCTAAAGAGATAAATAATGAAAAAGAAATATTTTTTTCTTTAAATATTTCAGTATATATTGATAGAGCCAGTTTTAAGGCTTTTGCATACACAAAGTTCATGTTATATTTAAAGAATTTATACAAAAACATTTCTCCACAGATATTACATGAATTTCACTTTCTCTAAGTAAAAAATGTACTTCTTAATTAATTATGAAAAGCTAAAATACAAAATCACACACGCTGAATTTTGCAGCTTCCCTAAATGTTTACGTAATCACTTTAAGTTGATATTCAGGATTTTGGAAGTTAATTTTCCATGTTTTCATACTTTTCCAATCAATGTATTGTTACGACATCGAGGTCACGTGACTAGTATCACGCCACATCATTCTCGAACTTTCTCGTCTTTTCCTTAAATCTCGTGATCTTTCTAGATATAGTGTAGTCTTGTATATATAAGACTGGCCACGAAGCGACGGGGAGGTAGTGGGTAATTGAACTGCAGTCAGAGAATGTGTAAGTGAATGGGTAATTGAATGTATGCAGATAAAATATTTTTGGCCACGTGAGACGTGAGTTATAGCGTTTGTTTTAGAGCAACTGTTGAAATTACGTGTATCGTAAAGTTGTATTCGGAAAGAATAAACCAGTTTTATTTAAGAAAGGACTTGTGTCGCTAAAGTTTCGTCGGAATGAATTTACAAAAAATTAACTAACAAACAGAGACGTAACAAATTGGTGTCAGAGAATGGGACAAAAAAAATGGAAACGAGAAGCGGCAAATCAAACGACAGCTTAGCAGATTTGATGGCAGCAATACAAGAACAGCAAAGGAAACAAGAAGTACGAGAAGAGAAACTACAGCAGTTCTTGGAGAAAAAAGAAAAGAAACAAGAAGAGAAATTACAGCAGTTCTTGGAGGAGAAAGAAAAGAAACAAGAAGAGAAATTACAGCAGTTGTTAGGGGAAAAAGAAAAGAAACAAGAAGAACGAGAGAATAAACAAGAAAAGAAACAAGAAGAGATATTACAGCAGTTGCAAGAAAACCTGTAACAGTGGCAGCTCGAACAGCAAAATAAACAAGAAGAGAGATTACAGCAGTGGCAAGAAAACTTGCAAGAGTGGCAGCTCGAACAGGAAAATAAACAAGAAGAGAGATTACAACAGCTATTGGAGGAGAAAGAAAATAAACAAGAAGAGAGACTACAACAGTGGCAAAAAGTACAAATGGAAAACATTGGTAAATTCAAAAGCGAATTAGATACATTAAAGGATTATTTATTGTCTTTTACACAAGGAGGATACATTAACCATCGACTTAAACAGCCCCAGACAATGGCAAGTCCCTTCCAGACCCCGCAGCTAAACCCTAAGGCAGACATTTTCAGTCCTGTTAGAAGTCACATCCCAGATATGAATGTCAGTACTAGGAGTGATCCAGTATGAAGGAAGCCACAGGAATACGATGGGAAAGCACTGTGGGAAGCATATAGAGCACAATTGGAGCTACTGGCAGAGATGAACGGATGGACAGAGGAGCAGAAAGCAGTATATCTGGCAACGAGCTTGAAAGGACAACCACTGGAAATACTTCGACAGTTGTCAACAGACGACAGGCACAACTATAGAGCACTGGTAGCGGCTCTAGAACTCAGGTACAGAACCCAAAATCAGTCAGAAGTCTACAGGGCTAGGTTTAGGATGATAATCCGTGCTAAAGTGATAATCCGTGCAAGAGCTGGCACAGGAATTGGAAAGCATGGCACACAAAGCCTTCCCAACTGCACCACCTGATTTCCTCAAGTTGTTGCTAAGGGATCATTTCACAGATGCCTTGGACAGTCCACAACTTAAGATACAAGTGAAGCAAGCACACCCCTCTACCATGCAGGATGCAATGGCCAGAGCTCTCGAATTCGAATCCTACGTTAAGTCCAACACAGAGGTACCAAGGTTGGTACAGTCATCAGGATTCAAGGCCAGAAAAGGACAGCTTTCAGAGAGGTTTGAGGGACTTTGCTGGTACTGTAATAAACTTGGGCACAAGAAAGCTCAATGCTGGCAACTTCAACACAGGGAAGATGCCACAGCAAGAAAAGCTGCTACCCAGAAGGGTTGTTGGAACTGTGGAGAGCAAGGACATATGAGGAGCCAGTGTAAGAAGAATATTACCAACAAGTCAGCCTCAAGGAGATCAGTAGTGGTTGGTGTTAAGGGACACTCACCAACCCCCATCGTGAAAGTCCCAACAGCAAGGTGTAAAATGCCAAGCACACACAGTGTCTATGTGACAGGAAAGCTGGATGGCCAAAGATGCAACTTTGTTATAGATTCTGTGTCTCAGCAAACCCTTGTGAGCATCAAGGTGTTAGATCACGAAGGAGTACCAGAAGCCATACAGAAGTTTGTGGTGTGACAGGACATTCTACAAGGTTGTGGGGACCAGTGTGGGTAACTATTGAGCTCATGGGCATAAAGGACAGACAGAAAGTATCCTTGGCTGACATTGAAGACAAATGCATATTAGGATTGGACTATTTAATACCAAGGCAGTTTGTAATTGATTTTGATAAAATTACGTTTGGGAATAACAAAGGCCAAGTTCTGGTAACTGTTAAAAGAGAGGATGAACTAATTAGGTGCTATCAAGGTGAAGTTAAAGTGACTGAAGAAGTTGATGATGACGAAGTGGAACCAGATATCGATATCAAAGCAGAGCAGGAGAAAGATCAAGATTTGAAGCCAATAATTGATTTTTTAAAAGCTAGTGTTTTGCACCTTGCTTGAGAGAAGGTGTCTTGTCTAAGCTCTGTGACAAAGCACTATTGGGCACAATGGGACCAGTTAAAGCTTGAAGATGGTATTCTTCTCCGGAGATGGGAAACTACATATGGGAAATTGACGACTTGGCAAACGGTCATACCGAGAAAGTTACGGGAAGTTGTGCTGCGTCAATCCCATGATACTTGAACAGGAAGACATCTCGGAATTAAGAAGACATTGAGTCACCTACGACAAAGATTTTACTGGATAGGTATGAGACAAGATGTGGAAGAATGGTGCAGAAAATGCAGTACATGTTGTGCTAAAAGGGGACCCAAGCATAAGGGACGTGCTCCAATGAAGTTATATCAAGTTGGTGCACCAATGGAAAGAGTAGCCATCGAAATTGCTGGTCCTCTGCCCCACATTCGTGCTGGAAACAAGTACATTTGTGTGGTGATGGATTATTTCACTAAGTGGCCTGAGGCATATGCTATACCAAATGAGGAAGCTACAACTGTAGCTTCGGCTATTAGTGATTTCTTCTTCAGATTTGGGATGCCATATGAACTGCACTCAGATCAAGGCCGTAACTTTGAATCAGCTGTGTTCCAAGAATGCTGCAAGTTGTTTGCATCCGAAAGACCAGGACAATGCCACTTCACTCGCAGTCTGATGGGATGGTAGAAAAGTGGAACTGGACACTGGGACAGGAATTGGCAAAGTTTTGTAATAGCCACCAAGATGACTGAGATGTCTTACTCTCTCCACTGTTGATGGTCTATAGGACAGCAGAGCATGAAACCATTGGATACACTCCAGCAAAGTTGATGTTTGGTCGGGAACTTCGGTTGTCAGTGGTTCTGTTAACAGGACGCCCACCTTATGAAGAGTTGCCTGAGAATGTGTCAGAGTTTGTGAAAATGTTATTGTAAAGGATGGATGATATTCACCATCAAGTGCGTTCAAACTTGAAAACGTCTGCTGATTCGATGAAATTATCTTATGATAAGAGATCTACTGAAGTTAGCTTTGAACCAGGAGACAAGGTGTGGTTGTATAATCCCAGGAAGACCAAAGGGAAGTCTCCTAAGTTGTCTTCTCCATGGGAAGGCCCATATGACATAGTGGATCGTCTTTCAGATGTGACTTTCTGGATAAAATGTGGTCGGCGAGGTAAGCCAAAAGTGGTGCATGCCAACAGGCTTTGGTGTTATCACGGTCAAGGACATTTCAGTTGGGACAAAGTGAACAAAGGAACAAATGACGCTGCTGAAGAAGTGTCTCCTGAAAAAGCCACTGTCGAAGAAGAAACTCTACTCAGTTTTGAGAAGGTAAACGGTGAAGCTCTTGATGAAGTTACTACCAAAGATGTGACTGTTATCGAAGATAGGACATTTCCTGATAAAGCAGATGAACCCCACGTGAAGCAGAAGCCAACGAGACAGAGACCAGTATGGAAGAAGATACGTCCTGT